CTCAGGGTATCCGACATTGCAGGCTACATATTGCGGTCATTGCAGGTATAGTTGTTTGGGTTTCAGAGACATAATATTCGAAACTACGTTTCTCTTTCAATGGAACATGGATACTACAGTCATTCACGTGTTCGAATTCGCTACAAAGCACAAATGATTCGACTTGGTGAGAAAAACTTAGTGATGAGATATCTCAACCCGATTCATCTATTATCATTCAAGCTGCAACAGTAAACTATACGGAATCAGGTGTATTGAAAAATATTTGGAAGGGAATAGTGATGGTGCTAATGAGTCAACCGGATTTCTCAAATCGTTCGTTTTGGGACCTAAAAATCAACAACTTTGATATCTGAAGTAAAGTTTGGTTGTATTTCCCGGCTGTGTAGAATAATCATTATGCATCTGAGGAATATTTGGGCTAACCTAATCAAGTGCGGTTTATGGTGAATTAACGGTTGGATTTGTTCCAGTTTTCTTAGGTCAGGGTCGATGTGTAATGTATACGTCCGATGAAGTGTGATTTCCTGCATGTTCTTCCATTCTACATTTGAAACACGACAACAGTTTCCGAGGCACTAATCAACCCTGGCTTTGAACCGACTTAGAATTTTCTACACGCCGGTGGGAAAGCTGTGTCAATCAATTGCCGGATTGAGGTTGCTTACATTTTTAGGGGAAATAAGGACTCCATTGAAGATTGCTTTTTGGAGCTATCCATTATGATGTCTCGCAGTTAGCAGATCTCGAGAGGCTTCCAAAATGCCAGTGATTTGCTGAAATTGTTTTGGAATATTACAGTTGGATCAGACACCCATTGTGTGATGAATAAATGGAAATATCTTCTTAAAGATTAAGGTTTGGTCTGCTGGCGGACTGCCTTATTATACGCTTCCCTTATGTCTCCCGTTTTTGGTCATACGCGAATGATTGCGGAAACTCACGATGCGCAGCACAGTCGCAAATCATAGAAAAAAACCCATTACGCTGCCGAAGTTTTGCCTTTCTGAAAAAACAACAACTCACCAATTTCTTAGAGCTTATATTTTCTAGGTTGCTTTTGCAATTTTTTCTAAATAAGGTGAGAGTAAATGGGCATTAATTGCATAATTTACCGTAATGGATGTAATCAGAATGTTGACCGTAATCATACCGCGAGACGGATGTTTTCAAGTGTTTTATTGTAAGGAGCTTTTCCAATGAACTCAAGCGCTTTTTGAAAGTGTTCGTTCTCCCTTTTCCACGGAAGGTTTGTTGCTCAAACTCCCTCCAGCCTGCAGCTGCGAAGCACACATAAGTGAACAATGCGAGTTTCACGGTTATTCCCAGAAAATTACACAATCATTTATTGAAAATAATGCGTGCCACTGAAGTAGGCAGTAGATATCTATTTAGGCAAGAACCAACAAGTTTGTGGGCTTCCTGGCCGAGCTGGACAATTTCATTGCTACGGTTTCATCATAATTCGAGTCAACATCATCTGTGCGTTATTGATGACGATTAGTTGTTCGGTCGAGCAGTTCCATTGGTTGCACTGTTATCCCGTGTCCTCATTCGCCGATGCCCACGTGTCCCTTAAAGTTAGCGTAAGGCAAGATTAGCCGTATGAAGTTTTGTTCTTGCTGTTACTGTTGTTGAGCTGCTTCGTTTTCAAGCCTTCGTTAATAAAAATCCTTTGATAATCGTTTTTCTGAAATAATCCCAATAGAAGTTTTGCTTGATTACCGCGAAGTTCTGCGGTGCACAATTTTTTCGCTGCCCTCTTAAACAGCGTTCGGACGCAGCTATTACTGTGATTTACTGGGTACTTGTTGTCGTAGTCCCGTACGTGGTTCGTATGGGTCTCTTTCCAGAATACGCAGATTTCAAGACTACCATTCAGACTTGCCGTTCACTAAAACGTCTACAAATTTGTCCATTGCTTCACTCCAGTATGACGTTAAGCTCGATATCTTCTAGGATAGGATTAAGCAGTCGGTGTGCCTAGTGTACCGAATCCCGTTTCATGATGACAGATGTGCCGTCCGCGCCTAGGATCCGGAGGATTGATGATCGGCAGTACCGCACGCTTTGATCTTTGCGTTACGACCTCAGCGATAACTTCTGATATCGGGGATCCAGTTTGAGTCCCTTTCGGCTGTTGGTATGTTTGTCCATCGGAAGTAAATTGTGTCCATGCAAAAGTCCAAAAGTTTGCGCGTAATTTCAGGCTTCATAGTTTCTGTCGTGTTTGGATTATTTTGAAGCAGTTCTGCTATATTTCCCCTGATGAGGTTGTGGTTGTTTGAAGTGAACAGTGATGTCACTTCCATTGGAAATGAAACATTCGCAATCAAATTGCCTAGGTAAGCAAACAAGCCAACGAACCTTTTCGCTAACTGATCTGACAACATTTCCTTCTACATATGAATCATTATGTTGTACAATGCACGATGCTTAAGGTAAGAAGATATTTCTCTAACTTAATAAAATCTAGACGTTCAGGGAATACAAGTTCGCACTATTGTGTGCTTGAATGAAAATATTTACCTCACAAGTTTGTTCAGCTGAGCTCACTGGGGTATCTGGATCGTACACCTTTTGCACCGTAAACTGTAAGCTTCAAATTTCGTTTGCAGCATATGATTATGTTTATGAATTTATTCATAAAATATCAAATAATTATTTCATTCACGAAAATAAATACTTCCAGAAGAAAGTACGGCCCAACCGGGCAAGGAAAATTAAAACGCGCGGTAACTATTTCCCAGTTTCTTGGGTAAGTTAGACTGTATTGTTTTTAATGCAGGGGATAGATCACCAAGCTCCTGGATTAGTGCCTTTTTTTCAAAATTTCCTTTGAAGTTCACCATATCACAATTTTGGGTGAGCAAACCTGGTGCTTAGAGCTCTGTACAGGAACAATTGTCTATATTGGGGCGGGTATATCCCCAAAATATGTACGCGTTTCACTGTTGCAATAAACAAATACATTTAAGTTTAATTTTACGCTTGTTGCGTATTTGTGGAAAGGTATGATCATCTTAGGATGCTCTGACTTTTACCCTTTGAGTCTAAACTATGGTGGATGAGATGGCCATGCTTCATGATCGATGTAACGGAAAAACGATTGAAAATGTTGATAAAACTGCAAACAAGTCTCACAATGCTTTCGGTCTAATTTTTATTCCAAACAAGCTAAACTTCAATACATTTCTATAGTGCGCTCATTTGCGGAAGGAAGCCAGTGAGATGAATATGCTTGCATGCCTAACCGCATACGTAGACGCGAAGCAAAGCACAGGGGAAAAACTTTGTCCTAATAAATTACCGAGTTCTACTCTGGTTAGTTTAACAAAAGACTTGTAAATAGAATATTAATCGTCTTCCAACAGAGTTGTGATACCGAACGCACCAGCTTGATTCCTCTACGCATTAGCCGCCTACAGTGCGACTGTTTGTCTACATTGTGTCTGAATGCAAATTCATTGACCAACGTGTAACAGCGCGACAGCTGGACTGCACGGTATCGGTGGTTAATATGTCCGGCTTTTAGTTTCCTACCTTAAATATTCATGAATTACCGATAATGAGTTTGGAAGCGCGTTTGCTCAGTTGACATTATCTTCAGCTGGAGTTTCACTTTCGGTTTGCCAGTGTGTTGTATTTAGAGGCGGCAATTTAAGAGATTATCTAAGGCACCCAAGTAAGTTCCCGGAAAACGGAGCCTCATTTCAAGGTAAGAAAATCCAGGTATGCATCGGTGACAATGCAACGTGATGCAACGTTTCCGCAGAAGTATTCATTCCGGGATGAAAAAATATTATCAAAGAAAGCTTTTTATTTCAGGGTTGACCAGTGTTTATCAAGTGGACTGATATTTTGAGTCCTAGACCGTTGAATTTGTTGTTCACGCAGTAAAAGACCCGGCTATTTCATACTTTCATTAAGCACTTACTTCGTATACTGCGGTATTGAATTTCATTCTATTGTTCGAACAACTTTGCATTGGCTAACTGATTGGCGCAAGATTTGAGGTTACTTAGATGGAACTTGTTCGGTTGACGTAGCATGTTATCGGAACGACATTCCTCCTCGTATATAAATAATCTTATTGGTAGGAAAGCATTCAAAACACTAGTTCGTAGAATGCGTCCTAAGATAGCAAGAAGCGTGCGGTAAAACATTCTGTATTGCTAATTACCAGGTTATCTGAAGAAACTTATACGCTCTCGGGGAACCATGGCATCTACACAATATTTAAGTTCGTCTTTGATGCCCATATACAGATCGCCGAAAATAAAGGCGTAGCTGTTTAAGTAAGCGAGTTGATCTAGGAGGACTTTTAATTATACATCGTGCAGGAAAACCAACGCGGATTGCAAACTTAGGATGCTACAAAAACTACTGACATGGAGCATTATACATCGTAATCAAACCTCACTACAAGTAAAGTTTTGACATCTAGCAGGACAAGGTTCAGTGTTGTCGTGCCACGCCCTTTACCTGCATCGTAAAACATGTATCCCTTGGTCGCGTTTTGTTTGGCGATAAGCCTGCCCACCCTGCGCTGGTGTTTGTCGTAAAATCCTAGTGTGTTGCTTGTTTTAAAAAACAAGTCGCCGCATTACGAAACTCCACCTTGAGGACCAGGGTATCGTTGGTCTGAACCTCAATCGCTGACCAACCTGGTTTGAGTGGCTCTCACAAATTTCGAACGAACACCCTTCTGTGTAGCTCAGTGAGTCACAGAGGTACGCAAACCGTTGTAGCACGATGAGATCCAGTCTGTTTGGTGGAAAATTGGTGTGATTGGCCGGCACTGAAAATGAAAATAGTCTCATTCCCCTAGACGTACGGGGCTCACGTCACATGCCACCCGAAAGGCCAGTGCTCACGTGGAATTACAAAATTGACATTTCATGCAACATTTGCGATTATTGACGGAATTGCGTAATCAGTTGAACCCTTCGCGTGATCAATTTCCTTCAGTTCATTCAATTCTATATTTTATTGCAGCATACATAATTTCACGCCCGTCCTGTCCTAAAGCGGCGATTCAGGTGAGCTAGCATCAACAGAGGCTAAGCAATTAACCGAAGTTGTGCTCTTATTAGAGCTCATCATGAGTGCTAAGACAGTGTTTATCCCAAGATTTTACGTGTGCACATCTGAGACGGGAGCCGAGCGTGATTGCACCATTTCGTTAGAACGCGCTGCATTCATTTGAAATTTTACGTCTGAAGAGGGGAATTTGTCTGAGCTTGAGCGATGTGGCTGGATATTCTAACAAACCTGCTATAGTCTTTGGTTCCATCAATTTACTCTTATCGGGACTACTGGGTCTTCCTGGCTGGTTTAATAATCCCCCGGCAGAGCTGGATTTCAACCTTTCATTTTTAGGGCGCGAGAATTGCAGCATTACCACGTACGCCTCGGCGGTCAGGTGCCCAAATTCCAAGTCTGGCGCGATGTTTGCTGATGGCGGGATCTGCTAAGAGCAAAACAGTAGCATTCACCATTATTTCCGTGTACTGAGCTTCGAGGATAATTTGGCGAGTGTCAATGGAGAACTCGGTAGTTGAAGGCAGTCTAATCCGGATTTCCCTTCCCATTTCAATGTGACCGTAGGGAAAAAAGGAACTCTAAAACTGGGCCTCCATGTATGAAGTGGTCGCTGTCAAACATCTCCAGCTACTAATCCTAGCATGTTAATTTTTAAACTGGCTCTTGTCCTTTGCCATGAGGGCGCGATATGTCTTGGATTCATTAAAAAACCGCCTAGGATTTACTTGAAACTGGAAAGGAGAAAACATCTCGAGGACAGATTTTTGAGAAGATATGTGAGAAATTCTGAGACCATTTTTTCATATTATGTATATGTATCCAGATTGCTTTCAATTATTTCAAAATTGCAGCATAACGTTTCCTATGGTGATGACCTTTTAACTAACTCAGATTTATGTGCCTTCATAAAAGAGGTTGCTTTATTAACGCGTTACATACAGTGTCTATGAAAGAGCACACTCCAAACCTGCCCAACCTAAGCTCTGGTATTCACAGATTCGCACCTCCAGATGAGTTGGACCACGACCATGGCCGCGTTATTCGTTGTCATCAAGCTAGTGGAGAGGTTTATTCAACATGGCGAAAGGCATTTGAATTATGGATAAACGCGACGGTAGCAAACCAAATCGGCGCAGATCATACTGCTAGAAACCTGCAGAAAGAAGCTTAAGCGCCCGATGATCGACTTTGTGTGTTTTGAGAAATGCATGCCAAATGCTGCCCACAAGATTGCATTCTCCCGCACTTTGTGACAATCTATCTTGCATTGGTGAGCGTGACCCAAGCCCAACGTGACCCAATTTTTAGTGTCCTCTGATGTTAACAAAGAAATCACTTGATAAATAAGAAGGCGAGAGACACTAACAAAACCTGTGTTTTGAGAGCTTGAGGTTACAACAACTAGGTGCACCTCAATCAAGTCAAATACAATACCAAAATAAAAAGGTTCGAACGGAGTGTAAGTTGTTCGTTTGGGTGCACGTAGACGTGTTTCATCTGGCAGACTCACCGCTACACGTTCCTGGATGTCCGCAGTTTTTGTTGTGTTCAGCCGGTCTGTGTGATGCGTGTGTGCGTGTGGTTGGCCGTGTTCTGTTCATATATTTCCAAGACTTCATGCATCTGGCTTGCACCTACAGGAATTCGGCTTTGTTAGGGTGATGTTGTACTTGATGATCATGCTGAAGTCAATGAAACACACTCCCAACGGGAAGTCAGGTTGACTAGTAAAATGATAGGCCAAGGAAGCTCTGAGAATCGCGAGCATTAAAGTAAATGTTCCTCACAGTTATCCAGCAAGCAAGCAGATTTGGGTACCCCGTGAAAAAAGGACGATGCACCATTTTCTAAGCTGTTGCTTAGTTGGCACTTGATCTACTCACCGTGATAGGCAGTAATGGACATTTCCGCGAAGTTCAAAAGTTACGGGTGGATATTTATCCAAACTCCTCCTAATATTCTGAATCAAAAAGGGTTATTAGGTCTTCGGGTTGATAGTTTGTTCGTCAGCTCCTTTGCTAGATGCAATGATATTCGCTTTCAAGAGTGCCCAGTTATCTCACAGACATTTTACGAGGTCGGAACTTTGAGCATGCCATTTTCCATTCTCGGTGGGGGCGTTTATCCGCCAACTCAATTCTCTGATTTCCGCAACACTAATTTATGCAGCATGCAGTGATCTCATAGGCACAGTACCGTCCAACGTACAATCTAGACGGTCATCTCAGAAAATTTCAATTGACACGATTTTCTGACCTTGACTATCGAATCCGAACAACGCGCGAGCCCACAAAATTTACTAAACTTGTTGCACTCAGCTTGTCAGATTCCGGCAGTTTATTCAATCGCTGAAACGTGAGCGCTATCTTCTCCCTTTCGCTAAGGTTATTTTTAGCATAAATGTGTATCATATTGTGAATGGAGTGAAAAAGCTCCCATACATTTACACTAATACTCCGAAGCAATTTATTGCGCAGAGTTGCATTTGCCTCAGTGAGTTCACTTTGGATGATATGGTCACCTGTCTCCTGGTAGTCGGCAATGGGCCCGCAAAGTCTAAATCTCCTTGCTGTAGGTTCGTGCGGGTATGATAGTATGGGAGTGCCTGAAACGGGAGTGTGAAATTGAACTTTATAAAGGGGTGGATGTATTAAGCAAAGTGCAGCCAGTGTAAAGAGTTGAGCTTAAGATAACGCTCTGTTGATATCCTTGTAATCCAAAATCAATTATTGCTCTGCAATTATGACTTCTACGTTTGGCATGTCGGATATTACGAGTCAACCAAGCCCACAGATTCCTAAGATTTCTGGTTCAGCCACCTGATATATTCACACAAAGCAATGTATCAGCTATCCTGGAGATAGAAAATTCGCATGCCGTTTGCGCAGCAGACGAAGGGATATACGGTTGTCTGGCAGACCACAAATAGACATACCCAACATATTAAACTTTCGACATATTGACAGAAGAGCATGAACTACACCGCAATGTGCATGTGCACGAACATTTCGACGCACCTGTGCAAGATCTGCCCATCAGTCACCCCTGGTTCGTGGCCTGCAACGAAAAGCGCAATGCTGACCTAGTGTTACTGATATCCCAGCTGGCATGTGTTAGCCCGCAATTCGCCTTGACCTGCCCTAAAATTTATGACACTGGAGACCAGACTCGGATTGGCTTGGGTTTCCGCTGCTATTAGCATACACCTCCAAGCTCACTGAGGGTTCTCTTAATGCACATATCTGATTCATTACACTTCATTCGTTTGTTAGATTGATTTACGGACTGATGGTTACTAACAACAAAATGGGCTTTACTAAGCATGCCGTATTATACAACGCAATCAAATAGGACAATTTTTGAGACTTCGTAAGTTGTGCATATTAACGTCACGTTATTTCTGTGAGATGCCTCTTTGTTTACGGACATCCAATTTTCATTACTGAATGACGTGAAAATTCGATGATACAACGTTTCTGCATAGATGACTGTTCAAACTTCCAAATGAATAACTTTGAAGGTGGAAAAGGTGCACACAAGCCGAAAATACTCACCAAGGAACAAAGCACAACTTGCTATTTTTCAACTATTGGGATATCTCAGGTTTTGGTTCTAGCGTAAATTAATGTTGCCAAACATTAGAATATTGCAAACAAAGTCCATTTTCCAATCGCGAGAAGTCTCTAACAGCAATTCTGAATGGTAAAACACCCCACTAGTTTCAGTCAATTGCGGATGCTTCCGAGCATGTTATAGCGCACATTGTTGTTCAACGCAAGCTTGTGTGGGAGCCCCAAGCAATGTGACATAGCACCATGCATCCTCGTAAACATACGGAGCTCACGAGTAAAATCAGTGCATATATTCTAACATTTCTGTGCAAATATACCTAGTGAGAGACGTCCTCGACATAAGGTATTCAACGCAACACTGGGAAACTATTGTGAGAAATGACTAAACAAAGGTGCTAAAATTAATGATTTGGTGGAATTAACACGCCGTTTTGCTTTAGGTAAAAGCCAGCGACAAACCTCATCCGGATGTGAAGAGATAAAATTATCAAGGCTACGAAATTTCAAAGCCTTCAAAACTATCTTCAGTAAATTTTGGGTTCTGTTGACGATTTTTTGTTGGCTTGATCCATTTTCAACCATGTTGGCCAACTTGGGTATATTAGATAGGGGCGCCTCAGAATACTGCATCCCCCGACCTAGTTGAGATGCACATATTCAAATAAGAAACAAAAAATAATGTGTTGATAATCATCTTGTGGTAGATACTTTCACTGAACTACCAAAACGCGTCCTAAATCTATCGGGCTACAAGATTATATATAAGCAATAGATTTTTGGATACGAGAACCGCTCAACTCGTGAACGGAATGCCATCGAACGCATTCAAAAGGCACGAGCACTTAGCACTTAGATACTCAATAGCGAACCTGATGAACGTCAATTTCGTTGATCAGCAAACATGCATAACGCCCAGTGGCGTGATGGTTTGCACACCCTATCGATCCAATGAGCTATACTCTGGGGTGCTTTCGCGGCGCTCAGAGTCTCCCGTACCAGGTTGTCAATTTTTACAGTTTCCAGGTCCTCAGGGTGTGTGTTGAAACCTGTGGCGACTTGTTTCGAAATGGTACAGCGTTCGCATTTGAGGCTTCTGGGCCAAATCGTTCGCATGTCCAGATGTGGGCACCCTGATAGTATTGCAGTCCACGTACAACCATAAACCACAGGTCTTGGAATAAGTAGTGACGGAATTTGAACGATTCTCGGTCCAGCGGTCTTATTTTGCAACAAAGATTAAATATTTTGAGTGCTATTAGTTCCGTTCAGCAGTTGTGGCTCCATAGATATCAGCTACGTGAATCTAATTGAGTATGCAGAAATATTTATTTTCCTGGGTAGGAATCGTTACACAGTTTGCCGCACTATAACTGGGGCTGAATGACGCGTTCACTTCCGTTTTGTCAGCGGCGTAACGTACTAACATTTGTGATAAAATTGCCGTTGAGCAACAGCGCTAAATTTACCACATTTTCCGTTTGCGAGTGTTCATCGAGAAAAGGATGACTGGAAATCTTCCAAACCACCGTCAACCAGCACATCACTGAACTCCGTGTAAGGTGTCCAGATGCAACGTTTATTTTAAAATTCCCCGATTTGGAACACGGTCTGTTATAAATTTGTGAGAACCCGCACGTACACTCATGAAACTAAGGCACTCCGCTCTACAGGTGGTTGATTTTCCAACAAAATGGATTTATTTTCCATGAATTCATTGCTTGTCTACTCCCGTTGATTTATAAATTAACAACATAAGTTTTAGGAAGATAAACTTTTGCAGCCGAGCTGAACGCAGGACGGTCGGATAGATCATTCCCATACCAAATGTTCCTCGGTCTGCCACTCAACTGTATTCCGAACAGGTAAAGCTCCATGTGCTTTATGTTTAAAGGAAATGTTTGGGACATCATTTGGCAAATGGAAGAACACTGGGATTGGTCGTGTTAACTGAAACGAAAATGGTGAGCACCAGACCTTTTTTGGCTCGATATATTGAAGACCCTAGTGAACTAGCTGCAGTTAGTGCGCGGATTTCTTGAACGCTGGAGTGACTGCGCCACACTAAAATTAACGCATTTAATAAACGGTGTGTCATTTCTTTCTCGCGCGCCCAAACCAGAGAGGAAAGCCATGATGGGCTAGAAAAAACACCCATAAATTTTTTTCACGCAAACTATGTAGCAGGGAAAAGTATTTTTTAGAAAAACACCATGACATGATTGAGTGCAGGTAAGAATTTTGGGGTAAAGCAACCACAAATTACAATTTCGCAAGCTATATGTATATACAACACAGGGATAAGCGAAATATGAACAACGAACATGCGGGTGTCAGGTATTTTAGAGCGGCTGCTGCTAGAACGAGATTTTGCAGTAACGCCTGATGTGCATCCAATTCGCTGCTACCACATTTAGTCATCCAACAATAATTGTTTTTCCATGCACGTATAGTTGCAGTACAGTCACAGTCACTTGTGGAGTCGTCACCAACAGGTGCATAAAACGAGAACAGAAGGTTGACGTTTGAGGCTGCGGTATTTATGTGCACATTTTCCGTGTATATTGTAAAAATTTGGTGAATGACGCCGTTATGTTGCGGCCGCTGGAACCGCAACTCAAGTGGTTTTGTGCAGTCTTGAGGAACAGAATTCTAGTACAGTATCGTATATTATAATATGGTATAGTATAGTGTAATATAGTATAGTATAGTATGGTGTAGCATATTAGAGTAAGTAGAACACTATCATTAAGCAAACAAGATTTCATGGGGAAGAATCTAGTTCTGGCTCCTCCAGAACGCGGCAGATCGAATTATGGGGAACTCTCTAGGCCAATGATAATGCGAGCTTCAGAAAATGCAGTTAATCTTCTCGAGTTCTCTTAGCATTCAGATATGTATCGGGCGCAAACACTAATGCATACACATTTATAAGGAGAAGTGAAAGCGGGCAAAATGTTTTTTATTCCTATGGCACGGTTGCTCAGATATTCCGGAATGAATTTCAAGCTACTATTGATAATGATGCCATCTAGCTGATCATGTGTTTCAAGCAGGCACACATTGCAAGTTTGTGAATTACGAAGGCGAGTCGTGTAGCTAAGTTGAATTTGCCAAGCACGAGACGTGATTTTGCGGCAGAGGAAATTTTAAGTAAGCCCAAGATTCAATGTTGTAGCTGCTAGTGGAAGCTCCCACAGGTGCGTGTAAGTTGGTGCGACCCGGTCTTATGATTGCGAAATCTTTCTCTCGGAAGAATGGTTTACGTAGGCGTATTTTTTTACGGCAAACTGAGCATTCTTCCTTTGTCTTCGTTATAATGACTTACTGAAATAATGCTAGTTTATGCCATTTTATTTCGTCCCTCTGATTTGAAACAAATTTTCGAAACTAGCTTTTAATACACCATGGAAACCCGCAATTAGATTGGAGAAGCTGACAGTGGCAGTGAGGAACGTTTGCTTGAACTGCGGTACACAAGACAATGTTAGAATTTCAACCAAAGTCGAAGCACATTGTGCCGTAAAACCGTAGCGCACGTTCGGTGCCCAGCTGCCACACCACTCGAAGAGAGCACCGTATAGTGTTATCACGCTTCCTATTCCATGTCTCACAAATATGGTAGCTTTGTATGGACACACCAAATTCAAAACCCATACTATTACAACTGATCTTATCCGCGTCATCGTACCATGTTATTGGAAGACCATGAAAGATCCATACGCCAGGATGAGTGTTTGAGGAATGTCTTCATTATTTCGGACTATAATTGGTGAACAGTTGGTTTAACTTTAGTATGCACAGTACGTCATGCGTGTTCCTGGTTTTAAAACCCCATCTGCCCGTGCCGGTTTGTTTAGCCTATATGGCTTGCGCTCTGATGCTCATAAAACTTTGATTCGGGCTCTTACGAGCTCTCCCAATTACTGCGTGTGCCATTAAGCAATGTGCTTTACTACGCATTTCCTTAATAGCAGCCGAGAATCAGACAAATACTTGAAAGTTCACTCATCCATAGTTTCCTTGAGGGGTTTTATCTTTAAAATGAATGCCAGTAAAATGATATGATTCACAAGAGTGTTTTGGCCATATGACCGGTAACAAACTTATTTTTAAGCGGTGTGGTTTAGAATACGTTCAGTAACCCTCGAAATAATGTGGATCTACTTAAAGCACCAA